CCCCCTAGCAAGGGGGGTCTATTTTGCAAACGGAAACGCAACGTTTTTTTATTTTAGATTCAACACAGGTGGAAAACGTTTTTAAATTCAGAGTACATATGCTCGAGGAAGAATCGCCATGCCGTGTATAGTGACGGACATGTCAGGCTGCTATGCATTCACGGGAGAATTCATGTGGCATTCCGGACCAATGGACGCGAATTTTGTCACGACCTTGCATGCAGGTAACGTCTTTTGCCTTGCAACAGTCGGTCATCGAAAAAAAGAGGCGCCTCTGCACTGGCGTTTTTTGCTTGCAATTGCAAGGGCGTCCAATCTCGAACACTCTGAAGACAAGACCCGCGATGAAAGACCGCGGAACACTGGCCGCCATGCTCAACGGCAAAGGAACAAGGCACCCCTCATGGCGTGCCACGCCGAGTCATGGCTGGCACGCTAAGCCGAGCTACCGAACATTCTCGACGCAGGGCCTGCTTCAGTTCCTGGCCGGCGTGAAGTGCAGCGCCTCCAGGTTTCCGCCCAAAAGAAAGTCACTCATGCGGCGAACGCGGCTCAGGGCGGTGTAGGCGGCCCCCGGGATGTTCTTCGCGTCGAGGTAGACCGTCACGTGGTCTAGTTCTGCCCCCTGGAATTTCAGTATGGTGCTGGCATACCTAGGTCTCATGGGGTAGTAGGTGAGATTGCCGTGCTCCACATCTGTCCACCTCCAGACGTCAAAGATGTGACCGGTCGCCGTTCTCACCCGCACAGCCTTGGAGGCTGCAGTGTACGAGAGAACGGTGGCTCGCATGCCATTGACATAGTCCAAGTCCTTCCGCACGTTCTTCGTCAGGTAGATTTGCATTCCTTCGAAGACGGGGACGGTCAGCGGGCGGAGCTCGGAGTCTGGCTTGAGTTTGCCATCAACGTAGTTAGCGGGGTTTGCTTCCATGTCCCCTGGCAGTTCGACCAGCGGGGACTGGCATGGGAAGATTGCTTCCAGGGCGCAATCGTTGACCACCTGGGCGCCGAAGCGGGCGCAGGTCAGAATGGTCGTGTTGGGATGCATATGGAGGAGTCGCTGCACGCCTCGCACTGTGGGCGGGCCCGGAGGCGACCACGCCTTCTTCTTCTGCAGCAGCTTCAAAGTGACTGCGGTGGGCTTGGCCGTCCGCAGTTTGTTGAGCAGCTTCTCAAAGGCAGGGTCCTGGCATCGGAAGCTCTGATGGAAGTCTGTGCGGAATGTAGCCAACTTCCACTTGGGTGTGTGCCAGGGCCGCACGTCGCCCAAGCCAGACATTTGCCACTTGTCTCCGCAGAAGACCAGAACGGGCACACGGTCGGACATCTCCCAGAGCTGGATGATGCGGTCAGTGTGCCGGCCCTCCAGCTGCGAGACCTCGTCGACGACCGTCAGGTCGTAGTGCGCGAGCAGCGGCATGTGCGAGCCGACCCCGTCCTCGTGCAGTCCGAATGCGGCGTGGCAAGTGTCCACATCGATGCGGCGACCGTAGCGCTCCCTCATGCGACTGGCGAGCTGCGCGGTCGGAAGAGCGAAAAGGACGCGCCCGCCCTCCGGCAGGATTTCTTCGATCATGCGGTGGCAGACAGTAGTCTTGCCCGAACCTGGCTTGCCCATGCACACCAGCACCTTCGCCTCCGCATGCGCCTCCTGTCTGAGGTCATCAGCCTGGGACTCATCCACTGTGGCGCGGTATGTCATGGCGCGCGACACAGCTCGGTCTAGAAGACTCTTGAAGCGCTCCTGCTGACGGTTGTATCGCACGGCCGTTGGCGGCGCCTGCGCAGGCCCTGCGCAGATTTCGTCGTGTGACGCTGGGCGAGCCGCGTCCACGCACAGACGACCGGACAAGTAGTCTGCCACGAGCGTGCGGGTGCTGCGGATCATGTTCAGGATGCCCTCCGACGCTGCTCTGCTGTGTCCCTCCACACGCAGCTCCTCCTCGAC